AGGACCATCAACTTGGGACACAGGCAGCCACACACAAAATTGTCCATTTTAGGGGTGGTTATAGGAGCAGAAAACAAAGTTAGAAAATATCCTGCAAATGATATATCTCACTTTTTTACTTTGTCCTCTTACATTAATCAAAGCAGAATCACAGAAACTCATTATATTAAGCTAGTATTGCCCTAATACCAAAATCCAACAAACACATCACAAGAAATTTACAGACCAATATCCCTAATGAATACAGATGCAAAAACCTGCAACAAAACACTAGATAAGAATCTACCAATATATAAAATGGATCATGCACCATGATCAATGGTGACTTATCCCAGAAATGTAAGATTAGTTTAACAAATGAAAATCAATCAATAAATTGCACTATATTAAAAGGAGAAAGAACAGTTACATGGTTATCCCAGTAGATGATGTAAAAGCATTTGACAAAATGCAACATCCTTTCTTGGTGAACATACTCAACAAACTAGGAATAGAAGGAAGTTCTTCAACCTGATAAAAATCATCTATCTATGAGAAAACATAACTAACATCAATACTTAGGGGTGACAAAATGGATACTCTACCCCTAAGACCAGAGATAAGACAAGGATTTTCACTCTCACTAGTTCTACCTAACATTGTCCTGAAGGTTCTTGCCAAGGCAAATAGGCAAGAAAAAAAGAGACAAAAGGCATCCAAATTTGAAAGGAAAAAGTAAAACTATTTTCAAATAACACAATCTTGTATATAGAAAATCCTAAGGAATCTACTTTTTAAAAATCATTAGAATTAATAAAGGAGTTCAGCAAGTTTGCAAGAAAAAACTTAACATACAAAAATAATTTGTATGCTCCTTAAATTATAGTGGGGTTGCATCCCAATAAACCCATGTTAACTGGAAAATATTGTAAGTTGATAATTCATTAAATACACCTAACCTACTAACCATAATAGCTTAGCCTAGCCTATCTTAAACATGCTCAGAACACTTACAGTAGTCCACAGTTGGGCAAAATCATCTGGCAACACAGTGCCCTGTAGAGTATTGATTATCATCATGGTTGTGTGGCTGACTGGGAGCTGTGGTTTACTGCCACTGCCTGGCATCGCAAGAGCATATATACTACAAATCTCCAATCAAGGAAAAATTCAAAATTCAAAATGTGAAGTACAGTTTCTACTGAATGTGTATCACTTTTGCACCATTGAGTAGTCAAACAAATCATGAGTCAAACCATCATAATTGGGACCATCTGTATTTCTATACTCTAACAATAAGCAATCTGAAAATAAAATAAACACAGAAAACAATTCTGTGCTAATTAGCCTGACTTAATCATTCCACAATGTATATATGGAAAACTGTACAACTTTTAGAAAAAAACAAAGGTAAATCTTCACATTGCAACCCATAAATATATACAAGTATTATTTTTCAATTAATAATATAACTTCACATTGTAACCCATAAATATATACAATTATTACTTTTCAATTAATAATAAAATATTAAATTTTTAAAAAAATAAAATGCTTAGGAATAAATTTAGCTAGAGAAGTGACAGACTTATACACTGAAAACTACAAAGCATCATTGAAAGAAATTAAAAGTGACCTAAGTGGAAAGACATCTCGAGATGTTCATGAAATAGAAAACTTAATATTATTAGGGTAACAATATTCCCCAACATAATCTACAGATTCCACACAATCTGTCTCAAAATGTAAGTTAGAGCTTGTGTAGAAATTGACATGCTGAACCTAAAATACACATGGAAATTCAAGGGACACAGAATAGCCAAAATAGTCTTTAAAAAGAATGAAGACTCACACATCCTTATTTCAGAACTTACCACAAGGCTATAGTAATCAAGACAGAGTGGTAAATATATATCAATGTAATAGAATCAAGAGTCCAGTTATATACCCTTACATTTATGGTTAATTGATTTTCAACAAGGATACCAGTGAGAGAGGAGATAACTAGAGAAAAGCTAAGCAGACAGACAGGGCAGGCCCCCTGGTAACAAAGTAGTAAACTTCTTGCAGGCCTCTCAGAATGATACACTCATGTAGGTAAACAAGCTCCCTATATGCCCGGCAGGCTACGGCAAGAAAACACTCACTGCCAGGATTGGAAAACAAAGTAATCAGCTCACTGCTAAGTGCTGACCAATCAGCTCACTATTGGGCCCCTACCTCTGGACAATTGGTTCTCAGGACTGACCAATCAGCACAGCTAGTGCCAACCAATCAGCACACAGCTAGTGCTAGCCAATCAGCTCAGTCTTAGGGCTCTATAAGCACCAGGTTTCAGCTCCAAATTGGCAGCCCCCTGGGTCCCCTCCTGCTGTGGAAGCTTTTCTGTCCTCTCAATAAATCCTGCTTTCCCACCTTCCGGCCATCAGTGTCCCTCATTCCTCCTGAATGAGAGACAAGAAACCACACCTGAAGAGCTGCAGAAGATCGTGGGAGCTGAAGAACTGCACACCCCAGACAGAGTTGGCTGAACTAGGAGAGCTGCTGGCAGAAGGCGAGACTCTGAAACTGAGACACTTCTGGAAGCTGGTTTACCAGCCCACTGAATCAACACTTTCAGGGATTGGCTTGCCAGTCCACTAGAGCCAACACTCCTGGGGCTAGGCTTGCCAACCCATCGAGCTGACACTCTTTGGGGCTCAGTTTGCTGACCTATTGAGCTGACACTCTCAGATTCCAGCCAATTAGATAAAAATTCTTATCACCAGGACCATTCAGTAAGTTGAAATAATCGGATTTTCAATAAATGGTGCTAGAACAACTGGATACTTACATGTAAATAATGAATATAAACCTGTGCCTCACACCATATAAAAATGAACTAAAAATTAAAAAATGTCTATTTATAAGAGCTAAAACTATACAACTTTTAGAAAAAAACAAAGGTAAATCTTCATGACCTTGAATTTGTTCATGTATTCTTAGATAGAACACCTAAAACACAGCAAAAAGAAAAAAGATTGATAAGTTGTATTTCTTCAAAATTAAATACTTTTATACTTCAAAGGATGGCATTAAGAAAGTAAAAAGACAGTCCACAGAGTGGCAGAAAGTATTTACAAATCATATATCGGAAAAGGGTCTTGTACCAGAATATATAAAGAACACATATAACTCAACAAAAAACTACAAGATTTGAATATACATTACTTCAGATGAGATATAGAAATTAACAATAAGCACATGAAGAGGCTCAGCATCATCAGTCACTAGGGACATGCAAATCAAAACCACAATGAGATAGCACTTTATATATACTAGGATGGCTATACTAAAAAATGGAAAATAAGTATTGGTCAAGATGTTGGGAAATTGAAACCCTTGCACATTGTTGATGGGAATGGCAAATGGTAGTCACTTTGCAAAACAGCTTGGCAGTTCCTCAGAAGGCTTAAATATAAAGTTACTATTTAACCCAGTTATTATACTCCTAGATATATACTCAAAAGGAATGAAAATATATGTCCACACAATATTCATAGCAACATTATTGATTATAGCCAAAAAATGAAAATAACCCAAGCATTCATCAACTGATAAATGGATAAATAAAATGTGTTACATCTATACCACAGAATATTGCTCAGTCTTACAAAAATAAAGTACTGACACAAACTATAACATGAATGAATCTTAAAAACTTTCTGCTAAGTAAACAAAGCCAGACACAAAAAGTCATATATTATAGGATTTGATTTACATAAAATGTCCAGAATAGGTATATTCATATTAACAGTGGTTTCCAAGGGCTGGGAGCAGAAGAAAATGGGCACTGACTGCTAATGGGTAAGGGGTTTCTTTTTGGACTGATGAAAATATTATGGAATTGAGTAATGGTAATGGTTGCACAACCTTGTGAATATACTAAAAATCACTGATTATATGCTTGAAAAGGGCAAATGTTATGATAAGTGAATTATATATTAATAAAGCTGTTGTTTTTAAAAAGTAGAATCAGTTCCCTAACCAAGTAGGAGAAATATGTTAAATCTTCAGCTTTTACTACAGCTAGCAGAACAGTGACTTGTTTTCCATTTCTTCAGCATTCATTCCTCTACCTAAGGCAGAATTCTATTTACAAGTCAGCTATGCTCTGGGTCAAGAACACTGGATCTTCTAGAGCCCACACTGGTTACATGTTCCTTCCTGTTATGTTTGTACAGAGAACAACTTCTTCCTCCCAAAATGGGTCAAGTGAGACTCAAAAAACAGTCTGAGCTAACAGAGAGAAAGAGAAGTTTTGGAACACAGGCTGTATGTGAATGGATGGCCTCGCTGTTCCCAAATCCTTTGTACAATTGAGAATACTTAAGGAAACCTATGTATTTCCTCTCCTATTCTCTTCCGTCATGATAAGTTGGGGAAATATTTTGAAGTCTTCCAGTTAGAGTCTAATCTATTATCATTTCATAATAATGATCCTAAACAATTCTCAAAGAGAGTTAGCAACTAGAGAATGGTCCAGGACTATTTCTGTCACCCACTAATATTTAACAGTGTTTGCCATTAGGAGCAATTTACAATATTTAATCTAGGTTTATCAGGCTTCATGTGAACTAAATTACCTCTTATTACATCCTCAGTGAAGACTGGTAAAAGATACTGCTGATTTACATTTGGGAAATAGTTCCTAGAAGGAAACACTAATGGAAACTAGGATTTATACAGAAGAAGGGAGATTGTTGGTCTCCAAGTATTTTAAATCACTCTGAAGATAGGGTTGCCCCAAACTGATAAAAGTTATCTGGGGAAAAGTGCATTAATGGTGTGGAGAGATAATTAAAGAAGTGGAATTTACAGCCAACCTTTATGAAGTAAGCCAGCACTTCCCACGTGGTAACAGAGTGATAGAGATTCAGGCAAGTGCCACACTAGCAATCAGAAGCCCCTCCAAAAGGTAAAGCACCTTAGAAAACAGATTTCCCACGAACCATCACTTCCATTTGCTCAGGCCATCTTACCTAATTGAAATTGATTGGAGACATTCCCACAGGTTTGCATTACCTCTGGGCTATTCCATCCTAAGGGGTATAATGCACAGCCTGAGCTTATCAGCAGTCCTAGAAAGAAACACATACACATAGGTAGAAAAAAAATAACGTCTTCTGTCACCCCAACATTCCTTTTGGATTAGCTCAGCTCAGATTCTGCCTCCTCTACTCAGAGCTTACATTTCCTCTTTTACCCTAAATTTCTATACTAGTCCTGGCTCAACAGGATTTCTTTGCCATGCCATAGATGGTAGGTACAGTAGATAGCAGAGGACAACCATGAAAAATTGAGACGGCCAATGTACTTTTTATAGCCAAAATATTTTTGACAATGACATATAAGGCTAGGTTGTCTTCTCCAACCTCTTTTTCCTTGGCCTGGTTTACAGAAAATTACAGTGTGGAAACTACTACTCTTTCCTGAAATCCAGTTTTTTCTAAGCATCACTTAGATCCAACTAGCTGAAAGTAGGTCATGATTTCTATCACTGAGAGTCAGCTGCTGGACTGAAATCTACAAGGAACAGACACATTGAGTAGGCTTCTGGTGAACAGGACACCATACTCCCTCTTCTCTGAGAAATTATTCCAGCTTTATACCTAGCATTCCTCTGTTCTTTGGTTCCAATATCTTCTTTGACCCTTTCTTTTGATTTAGGTCATTTAGTCACTGCGGGGAAATTCTGTAGGACCTTAAAGTGGGACTTCTTTGGGACTTTATCTTAGTAAGATAATTTTACTTTTCCAAACAGAGATGCAAATCTTGGTCTTCTTGCCAAGTCTACCTCCTAAGAACAACTGCCTCACCCACCATTCTTTCTTGTTGCCTAGGTTTTCACATCTTATAACCTATGGCACCACCCTGCCTCTTTGTACCTCTGGCCACAAAGGATTGGGCTGAGCATTGGCATCTGACACAAAAACAACCAAATTCACCATTGGTGAATGGGTGATATTGTAGCCTGGCATGAAGAGATGCTAGATTCATGAAGAGGACTAGATTCTTTTTTTTTTTTTTTTTTTGAGAAGGGAGAGAGGCTTTTATTTTGTGACTTTCTGTTCTTTTTGAATTTTCCAACTAATGTGTGTATTTTATTTTTTAATTGTATTTTATTTTAAAGTTGTGAGGTACTTTCTGGAAATTTTAATCAAGAAACATAGAGATGCTAAGCTAGTTAACAGGTAGAGCAGAAGTTGGAAAAATTTTTTAAAAATAAAACACCAGGAGGTAGAATCAAGTCTATGTCTGACTTAAGCCAAGTTCAATTCAAAGTTATGAGTAGACATCAATTCTGGGTAAGTTGAGCAAACTGATTGGTAGAGGAAGAGAATAGAGGAGTATAGTGGCATGAATCAGACACATCATGAGATGAGCTCAATACTGTCCATGAAGGAGCTGGAGAAAAGAGATGTCAGTTCTTCCTGATGTCTTTTCATTATACTTCCTTTATATTATAATAAACTCCCTTTTCTTTGAGAGAACCTAAGTGAGTCTCTGCAACTTGCAACTCAAAGAGCCTAATTACAAGAACACTATACTTGGGTACCACATGAAAGATCACAAGAGAGACACCTGTCATGAGTGTGGATTCAGAAAGTAACACATAGCACAGGACCACCTCAAAGCAACTGCTTGATTAGTGATGAATGAATGGGATTTTTATAGGTTCTGAAGCTCTGTGGTTCAACTGGACAGGGAAAGGCAGGCTGCTCCAGGGACTGCTGATTTCTCCGCCTCTTTTTCCTCACTGAGGAAGAGTCCAGATACACTCTAGGAAGCTAATACAGGAGGGACACCAAAAACATTGGAATTATTTTTTGGAGAGTGGGCCCCTTGTAGTACAGGCTTCCCCTGCTAGCTCAGTGGTCTAGGAATCCATTGGCATTAGTGTACCAACTAGCATTGTGATAGGCTGCGCTTAGCTTCAGTGAATTATTTTTGGGGTAGATTATTTCAGCACATTTTCCCATTTCATGATAGATGATTTACGGGCACACCTACCCACACTATGCTGAGTATTCAGTAGTTTTTGACCAAAAATGGCCTGACCTCTGTGCCCTACCCTCCCTATTCACCTGATCTCACCCAGAGCAAGATTTTTGTTTTGTTCTGTTTTCCTGAATGAAAAAGTCCTCAAAGGGAAACATTTGGCCAATGTGGAAGAGGTGAAACAAAAAATGGTAGAAGCACTAAACGGCATTAAAATTGATGAGTTCAAAAACTGTTTTGACCAGTGGAAAAAGCATTTTGATAGATGTATTGCATCAAACAGAGAGTACTTTGAAGGTGACTGAAGTTTAAACATGTAAGAATAAATACACAATTTTTAATAAATAAATTCCAGGGTTTTTTGCCCCCCCCATGAGCTCACTTTGTCTTCAGATGACTTCTTTAGGAAGAGGATGTCAAAGTAGCCTCCAAACTTGTCTTCCCAGTGGCAACCAGCTTTTCTCGATATTCAATGAGGCCACAGGAGAAGACAAGGGCCTTAAGAAATAGCAAGACAGGCTTAAATAAGAAAACAGGGAGAACTTACTGAGAGTGAAGACGATTTTAGAAACTAAAAGAATGACCAATTAAGGTTAGAAATTGCCTTCAGTGGTGTGCTTAAAATTAGAAAGCATTCTTATCAGTCTCATATTCTCACAGGAAACGAAGCTGGTTTCTCAAAAACCTTTCTAGGCTCTGGAATTCATTCAGTGGCAACACAACAACAACCATTTTTCACCACAGATAAACTTAAATCCTACTACATGAGGAGATAGCCAAGAATACGCACAATGGGTTAAGGACAAAATTGGAAATGAAACTGAAGGCTTTTCCTGCTGCAAGTGTATATTATTTGCAGGAAAAGTTAATGAAGACAGCTTTCCCACACAGTCTAGGAAGAAAAGAACACAAGTTTATCAGCTCTAATTTCTAACCTCCACATTCAGATCCTTGGGATTGGCATGAACTCTGCCTTTTCAAGCAGGAACTAGAGCAGGACAAGTGCCTTTCTTGGCACAGCACAGGAAATCTTCCACCTTCTTCAGCCCCCTTGCTTCTCAGACCTTCCCATGTCCTGAGGAGCTCAGGACAGGGATTACCTCCCCCAGGAAACCTTCCTTCATCATCCCCAACCTCCAAGCTATTACATGCTCCTCCTCTCTGTTCCCATAGCACTCTGTACTTATTCCTGTGACTAAAATAGCCTGTAATATATATTCTTCACATCAGTTTGTCATCTACTTCCCTCACTAGAGTGTGTGTTCCTTGAAGGCAGGAGCCATTATTTATCTTTACCTCCATCCTTGACACCTGGTACACAATAAGTGTTCAATAAGTGCATCTTTTTAGTAATATGCACAGCCTACATAACAAACAGCTTCCCACATTGCCCAAGGGGAAAGCCTTATAAAGGGACTTCTATTGCAGGCTTGGGAGATCGTCCTAGACACCTGATGCAGTCAAGGAATCTTAGAGAGGAAAGGCCTTTCGAGATTACCTGCCCTACCTACCCTCTTCTTGTTACAGATGTGGATATTGATACCTAGATAGGGAAAGTGATTTACCCAAGGTTGCATAGCTAGTGACTAGCAGCAATTTTTCTCACTGGTCAAACAGATAATCAACCCTTAGAGACTCTGTCCTTCTAGAGACATATGACCAAGAATGATTACGTTTTAGCAACAATATCTCCAGCAGTTGCTAGGAATTTTGCAGGCATTAGATCTGGAGAGACAACATTACATGATGGCTTAAGACAATGGGGTCTGTAGTTAACCTAGTCCTAAATTCAAATTCCAGCACTGCCTCCTAGATAGAGGTTGTGTGACTTTAGGCAAGTTACTTAATCTCTCTGTGTCTCAGTTGCCTCATGTTTAAAATGGAAATAGTAATAATACACTTGTCCCTTTGTATCCACAGGGGATTGATTCCAGGACCCCTGTGGTTACCAAAATCTTCAGATATTCAAGTCCTTTATATAAAATCATCTAATGTTTACATATAACCTAGAATATTCTTTTGTCTATTTTAAATCATCTCTAGATTGTTTATAGTGTTAATGTAAAGTAGTTGCTATACTGTATTTTTATTGTTTTTTCTAAATATTTTTTATCTGTAGTTGAATTCGTGGATACAGAACTTGCAGATACAGAGGGCTGACTGTAATTTACAGAGCTATTCAAGAATTAATGAGATTAATATACATAAAGTACCTGGGACATAGAAAGTGCCTAACAAAGAGTTATTATTAAACAGCTGTCTCTCCCTGTGGCTCTTCTCTCAGTTTTCACCTATATTTCCCATGCTAATTTCTTCCTCGCCTCTATGTCCTCATAACAAACAGCTCAAAAGTCAAAAGCTGGGCAAGGTTTGATTCAAAAGCTTCCTGGCTGGAGTTATCTTGCCATTTTGCAGAGGCACCTGTTAAGAAACCAGCAATCTCTGCAAAGCCTGTGCTTTACTCCAGCACATGTAGCTCCATGCTCCGCCCAGCCTGCCCTCCCAACCCTCCCATCCCCCTTCCTGCCTTTTGACAGGTGAGCACATTAGCTTGTAAACATACTTCATGGAGATATTTGACTTGTAACTGATAGCTGATTCCATTACATTTGATCATAATTGGAGAAAGATGCCCTGGGGAACACATTAAAAATAAAAATGAAGTCATAGGGCAATTCATCCTCAATTATATTTGTCACTAACAACTCTTCTCATCATTTTGGAGTTGTGAAGATACGCTTCAAGCAACAACAGAGAATTTATTTGCCAGGGCCAGGCCCTGCCACTTTCTGAAAGAATGGAGGCTTATGAAAAATGTAGATTTTTAGGCTTCAGCCCCAGGTATTTGATTGTAGCCCGGGAATACTCATTTTTAAATTACCCTGTGATGTTGAGCACCTGGTCCTGATACGAACACTTAAGAAAAACACCACTAAAAATGTTACAAGCAGGAGCTCTGAGAACAGAGAAAACTTGTTTAAATCTCAAGCCTGCCACAAATGAATTGCAGCCTGGCTAACACTACTCTTGGAGAAGTCTGTACCAACTGCATATGCTCAGCTGGGGATTTTCCTAGTCC